TGGAATTGTCTTGTCACAATCTCATTACGTAGAGAAAGTGCTCAAGAAATTTAATGCATATGAAGGTCCTCTGTCTAGGACACCCTTTGATCTTAGCGTAAATCTGGAAGCCAATAAAGGTCAACCAGTTGCTCAATTAGAATATTCACAGATAATAGGGAGTCTAATGTACTTGACGAACTGTACACGACCAGACTTGGCCTATCCGCTGAATAAGTTGAGTAGATTTACGAGCAATCCCAATCATGAGCACTGGAATGCTTTGAAAAGGGTACTGAAGTACTTAAAGTACACCCTTGAATACGGGCTAAAATACTCGAGATATCCAGCAGTACTTGAAGGATATTGTGATGCAAGCTGGATATCGGATTTGAGAGATTCTCACTCCACAAGTGGATATGTCTTCTGTATCGGAGGAGGAGTTGTTTCGTGGAAGTCCACAAAACAAACTTATATGGTTGGGTCAACCATGGAGTCGGAGTTCATCGCTTTAGATAAAGCTGGTGAAGAAGCCGAGTGGCTTCGAAACTTTTTATCTGATATTCCATGTTGGAATAAACCTTTGCCGCCTGTGATGATTCACTGTGATAGCCAAGCTGCTATAGGAAGGGCGCAAAGTAACATGTACAATGGTAAGTCTAGACATATTCGTCGTAGACATAATACCGTTCGTCAATTGATCACAAATGGTATTATTTCCATTGACTACGTAAAGTCTAAGGAAAAATTGGTTGATCCTTTTACTAAAGGATTGAATAGAGATCAATTGAAAATACTGCTAGAGGGAATGAGATTAAAAATCCACAATGAAAAGAATGATCATAGTGGGAACCCTACCTTGCTGAATGGAGATCTCATAAACTTGGTTCAAGGGGAAAACTAAACTATGAAAATTCAGCTGATCACTTGGAACATTAGAGTGTCCAAATCTATTCCCTAAAAGCAATCCAAATGCAAGATTACCTGTTGATTGTGGTGAGGGTAAGTCATCTGGACTTGTAATGAATCCCTAACCTTTTAAAGGTGGAGTAATACAGGATACTCTTGACAGGGAGGTCACCTATATAAGTGTGAAGTGAGGGCCGCTTCAATTGTAAACACTTATGAATCCAAAGTGTTGTCCATGGCCAAAACGGACACAACAATAGAATGGAATGGAGTTAAGGCTCTATTGTATGAATGTCATTGTCTTGGTGTACACTATGGAAGAATAGTTCAAGGCACTATGTCCACTAACCCGCCAGTACATCTGATGATGTTTACTAAGAAAGGTTCAAAGCCACAAGATACCTTTTCTGATGCAATAGAGTCTTGTGAGGATTGAGCACAAGAGTCTGCATACATGCATACATTTGATTTCCACTCATGTGGGGGATTGTTGAAAAAATCAGTTATAAAACTTGGGTTTGACCCTGTTTTGACTGAATTTTTTATGGCTAAATATTTAATTTGAGTTGAATTAAATATTGTAGAAAAATATTACATTCCGAGTAGATACTTGTGGTATATTTATTTTCTCAAAACTGATTTTCGGTGAGTGAGAAATAAATTGTTAAAGTTAGCCATAAAAGGGCACGTAAAATATTAGTTGTGGGATTTGAAGGGTCAAGAGTCACTCCCACATTGGACTCTCAAATGAGTTTAACTCTCTTTATTATAATAAAGAGAGTTGGAGAGGTTACAACAAGC